TTCCCCATCATCCTTTTTAGGCATTCTCAAACAAATCTTTCTCCCAAAACCCACTCTTTAACACTTCTCATGTTCTCTGTGTTAGAAGTATGCGCTAAAAGCCAATCATTATATGAAATCTTTCATGGAAACTTCGTTTAAACCAATCATTTAAGTTAACACACAAGGGCAAAAATGTCAACACAGGTAACTGTCCACGCTTGACCATTAACCTATTTGACAAGTCCATGGATTATAAGATAAGATAGAAGTTAGATGCAAAGGGGCATTTCCCAATTACTCAAACCAAAATGTTCCTAGACATAGGATCATTCAACTAGGCATTGACGAACCGCAAAGATCAGTACGCACTCTATCTGCTCAACCAGGAGAATGACTAGTCTCGAGTCATTCGTGTGTGGACACTAAGATAAGTATGTAGGTGATTGCTAGGGAGTAAGTTCATTGAACGTGATCAAACTAAGGAATCTTGTATGGAAATTCAACTTGCACATCAAACAAGATTTCTTCAGTTATAATAACGCAAGGTTAATTCTTAGACCTAAGGCACCATGGTTACCTTATGGATGAATAGTCGGTCTCTAATTGAATCATAAGGTTGAGCTCATCCTTGGGCTCGATTCAAGGTAACGTCAGAATCGTCAACAAGTCCATAAAGGCAAGTGAGCGTACGATAAGGGATCCCAACTTCCAATAAGAGGACGAGAATGTTTTAAGATATGATTCAAGAATCTCCAATCGGAGTTAGAGCGCAATTGAGAAAAAATCTTCCAATTGTGCTCATATTGAATCATATAGCCAATAGATATCACGTTAGGGATTTGACATGAAGTTTGTATCCTATTAACGAGATCAAGAGCATTGTGAAATAGAGAAGGATCGAATTACATTATAATTCTAACTAAATGGATTCTCCTACTATATTCTAGATTAGTTTAGGTAAATGTGATATGTTGCAGAAAGCAGTAGATATGTGTTTACAATACCAAGGTCAATGCATAAAAAATATACAAATTTATAAATAAACCCAATCCTAGACATGTATTTATAGAAAAACCCAAGCACTATTTAAATATAGAAACACACCCAAAATCAATCCCAAAGTCAACTTTTTGGGTGTGTTTATAAATAAATTTTGAGTGTGTGTAATGATGGGTTTTGGGTGTGTTTATATGTTTAAATAGTGCTTGGGTTTTTTTATAATTTAAGCCCCCATTTTGGGTGTTTTAGTGAAACTCCCTAAAAAATACTTGTTGGTTCATCAAATTGCAAGACAAAAGAAGAGGTATAGTTCTAGATGGCACTCACAATTTGTGGAAGCCTTGAGCATATTCCGTAAATGGGTCCTCATAAAAGGGAGAATTAAAAGGGAGTTTTAATTCACGATCGATAAAAGAAAGAATTCATAATCACCTATGGCCTCACTAATTATAACCCAACAGATCGCACATTCATAAGCTTGTAATTTGGATATATAATAGAAGATGACAAGATCAACGATTAAGCCAATTAATTAGATTAATTGATTAGAGAGAGAATTAATTAAAAAGTTAATTAATTACATTGAAATGGAATGGGCTTTAAAATGGTTTGAGTTTAGCCCATGAGATTTTAGCAAAAATGTCTTAAGAAGAGATAAGTAGGATAAGTTGGACCTAGAAGGCCCACCCTTCTTAGGGTTTTAAGTCTTGCAAATGTGAGGAGGAAGTGAGAAAGCATCAAATCTTTTGTAACATCCCACATTGACCAATAGAGAGGGAGTGATGTGCCTTATATGTACATGTCCACTTCCATCTAGCATGAGGCCTTTTGAGAGCTCACTGGCCTCGAAATCATGGGAACTTCGAAGTTAAGCGAGTTGGGGCTAGAGCAATCCCAAGATGGGTGACCCACTGGGAAGTTGCTTGTGAGTTCCCAGAAACAAAACTGTGAGGGTAGAGATGGGGGCCCCAAGCGGACAATATCATGCTACGGTGGAGCCAATCCCGTGATGTGATAATTTTGGTATCAAAGCCACTCTACCGTGTGGTGCGAATGTGCCGACAAGGACATCAGGCCCCTAAGATGGGTGGATTATAACATCCCACATCGACCAACGGAGAGGGGTGATATGCTTTATATGTACGTGCCCACCTCCATCTAGCACGAGGCCTTTTGGGAGCTCACTGGCCTTGGAGTAATGGGAACTCCGAAGTGAAGTGAGTTGGGGCTAGAGCAATCCTAGGATGGGTAACCCACTGGAAGTTGCTTGTGAGTTCCTAGAAACAGAACTGTGATGGCAGAGAGGGGGGCCCAAAGCGGACAATATCGTGCTACGGCGAAGCCGATCCCGGGATGTGACATATTTCCTCCTTAGGCAAGCTAAAATTGGTCCCAAGAGAAGTGTTACTAGCACCACAAACTTCTCTTGTGTAGTCATCTTCATTCTAAAGGAAAGCTTGGTGTGGAGACTTTGGAGGTCACTACTTTGTGGCTTGGAGGAGAAGTAGAAAGTGGATCTTACCACCATTATTTGGTGGAATACTTGGGTTGGACTCAAGTTGCCTTCCAAGGGTGAGTTTCTATCTACCTTCCTCTCCTTAATTTCAGGTATGGTTGTTTGCAATGCACATCAAGTCTTTGAACCTTAAGATCCATTAAAATGTTTTATTTTTAGGCTTTAGTTTTTGTTTAAATTCTTTCTTTACCTATCAAATGAATTTTTGATAATCTATATGTCTAAATGAACCTTGTTTTTTTTAGAAAAACACAATATATCATTCACTTTGAATTTGGGTCTACATCGTCTTTGATAAAGGTTTCTCCAAATCACCCAATTGTTCTTTATCAAGGTCGTTATATTAATTTCTAATGAATAATCAAACATAAATAAGAATACAAAAGTAATTATATGATACCATTTATCTAAATAATATCATAAACATAACAAATATAACACAACTAGAATTAGAAATACTAATAGGAATACAAAAGTAATTATATAACATTCTTTCTCTTAACATAGAGAGCACACTCTCTAAGCTACAAATCTCGGAATGACTCGAAACATGTACCATCATACTCGAACAAAAAAATCCAATTGGATGGGTAAAATGTCCAATGTTGGAGGCTATTGGAACAACTGCCACTCGCTCGCGTCGTGAGTGGTCTTGGCAAAGTTGCAGTGGTTTTAAAGCATATTCCTTCTAGTTTCTAACCCAACAAAAATCCCTCAAAACTGAACTAAAATTAAGGAGAAAAAAACATCCAAAGTTGGGTTCGTGCACCGGCTTTTCAATCTAAGATTTGTTTTGTTTTTGTAAAACTTTACGCCTTCATTTCACTATCAAACCTTAACCAAAAACGATGAAATAAAATGGAATTTGTTTCTTGACAAGTCTATTGTCAAAACCAATAAATGGATTCCTGAATAACTCGAAGGATTGGGAGAAAAAGAGAGCCAAAGTGAGGCTCACGAACTGAAATTTTCCCAAAAACTCAAATTTCCAAATTTTACCAAAAAGCAAACACTCAAATTAACAATTTCCAGAAACTGAAAATTTCACTCCTAGATTGTTCTTAAAGCTTCGACAACTCTTCTAAAGTTCAATTTTTCCTATCACTCAAGTGACTCAAAATACTATTAAAGGAACTAGAATCAATCGAACACAAGGTTAAAAAAAAATCATAAATCTGGAGCTTAAGTCACCTTAGAAGATTTTGCCTCTAATCTCCAAATGCTTCCTTTCTTCCTCACCAAAATTCCACCTCCATTCATCTACCCATGCTAAGATATTATTCCATATTATAATTATCATTACACTTAGCCTAAACTTGGTGAATCATCCCTAATAGACTCATAACTCAGCCCAAATTAATATCAAAATCTCATTTTGAGTATGAGGTATAAGGAAAGGGGGGAGGAATGAAGGGAAATGCGATATGTTGCCTACACGTAACACAACAGTATGAGAATTAAGGTAGAATAAATAAATAATAATTTTTTTTCTAGATGTTATACACTTGCAAGTGGTACACATAAATTGGTAGAGTCCAACCTCAAATCACTAATTCATGTTTTGGATATGAGAATTGTAACTATTGGTTCATGCTCAAGGTTTGGATATCTTTCTTTGATATTCCTTCCTCGTATTTTTTATTTCAATGTTAAAAATGACTTTGCTTTCACATTTTTCCCCAATCTGACCTTCATTATAGTCATATGTCTTAGGTAGTGTGCTTCTAAAAACATTATCGCACTCTACTTACTATTGCCTCTGTGAATTGGTTTTCACTTGCAGGTGATGAAGCAAGGATGACGGCCTTCAATCGTACATATCCCGCAACTATTCCAAAGTATGGTGAACAAAAGTTGGATAGGAGATGAACTATTTAGATGTTTCATGTTGTTAATATATGTAGGAACATTTTTGTACATTCTTCGACCTGCCTTTGTTTTTCAATTTCAATTTTGAGCTATGTTTGAGTTTTTTTTTCCGCTATTTTCTTTCATTTTTACTTCAAATTATGTGTATTGTTAAGCCAATTTAGAGTCACCTTTAAGAGGCAAGGAGAGCGCACAATAGAAACAAAGTTAAGATATTAAAAGATTTATCAACACACATATATATTGAATCTTTAAGATATGATAAATTGCTTTTGTTAATATGAGCGTATCAATTACACTATTGAAGTAATGAAAAGAGTTAATATATTCAAAAATTTATCAACACGCGTATATACCAAATATGAAGAACACACATACTAATAACCAATATTGAAATGTCATTTGTTTAAAAAGTGGTTCCTTTTCTTTTAGATGAGTATATTAGTTGGCTTATATTTCTAAAACGTGTGTTTTTTGGACTTTTAAAATGATCGCCTAGAAATATATATATATATATATATATATATATATATAAAGCATAAGATAGAGAATGGTGAAACATTCAAAAATCCTGAAAATGCCCTTTGTCAAAGAAAAAATTAAAAGCACACAATTTTAATTAAAAGAGGGTGAAATGGTAAAACACCACTGATTTAAAAAAAACAAAAACAAAAACAAAAATAGAGTCGTGCTGTGCTTGACTCACAGGAGAAGGGTGAAGAACAGCTTAACCCACGGTTACCTAGAAAAAAAGAAGAGCTGAAGAACGTGGAGAAAAATTCCACAGGTTTAGAACCCACGAAGCTGGTGGTTTCCACAATTTCAGAACCCATCACCACCATGTTACTTATACTTTTTGCGTCCACTTTAATGGCACCTTTTTCTGCTTCAGAAATCTAAATCGTGAGTAACCATCCAGGAACACCCAGTGTAAAGATTGGTCAGACCCAAAAACCTTCCTTTCTCATTCCGCTCCACACCTCATACCTGTAACTGAAGGTAAAGCATTTTTTTTTTGAATTAATGGATGTATATTTCTGATATTTCATTCCAGTTGTGGGTTCCATAAAATTTTGTATGTTTCAGGAGAGCTTATGCACAATTCGGCATTAGAGAAAGCACCAGCCCATAAGAGTTCAAGGCTTATAATTGATGGTCGCCAACTCTTGAAGCAGTGAGTTCCGAATCTTCTACTTCTTTGAATTTTGTGGATTTCCCTATTCTATTTTCTTCTAAAGTTTTAATGTTTTTTCAAGGCTTAATTGAGCAACCCACAATTGCAGGTGGTATTTTGTTGGTTTAGATAGAGCTGTTAGATTCTTGCTTTTGGTTCTGTTAAGCAAGAGGTGAGTTTCTTGGTTGAAATAAATTGGTAGAAATGAATTGTTTTCCATTTTGCTTTGGCCAATGACATCAATCTCCCACTTGTGTTAATCATTTAGCCATATGTATTGTTCTTCTTAATTTCTTAATGACTAGAGGCTTTTTTTAGTAGTTTACATACTATAAAAATAAAAAATAAAAAAGCTAAAATGTAGATCTAGAAAAATACGGGCGATAAAGGAAAACTTTTAAGACGACGATTTATCATATGCACGCAATTAAAATATGAAATTGTTGAAACGGATATCTATATAAATACAATTGTGAAAAACTATTTACGAAACTTTGTAAGTCGCACGTGATTAAAAAAAAGTCTCTCGCACACTCGGAAGTGCTTGCAGGGAGGCTAGTATATATACTCATAAAAAAATAATAATTTAACCATCTATGTCATGGATCCTTATTTGACATATTATATAAAAGATAACTTTCAAATGAGGATGTCCTCGTATAAAAATAAAAAATAAAAAAAATAAAAAAGTAAACATTCTTCTTAACGCTAGTGCCACACCCATAGTACAATATTGATGTTGTTTTTTTAGAACATTAATATTGTCTTTTAATCATCAACTCATGATCGAGAAGAAATATGACAGAAAGAAGACGGTTTAAGCAAAAATTTGGGTGGTGACCGAGGTGCTTGACACCTTTTGAACGCGGCAACTTTTGCCTATAAATAGCATACCAATTCTCATTTTTTATGACAACTAATCTCTCATCAAAGTCAAGCTAAAATGTTGTTCAACTTAGGAAAAAATTACTGCTTTCTTAGGATTCAACATAGGATATCACCAATAACTCTGAAAATTGTTCAAAGTTCTTAAGCACCACCATTGTAATCATCCATTCAGCATATCAACAAACAACTCTGTTCTTCATAGAGATTCGTTTGAGCACCATCCAATCCATTTTTCTCTCAACTCTTTGTTTCATTTCATCTCAAAAGAGAACTTGAGAAATCATTTGGCTGTCAAACACGGTAGCAGAATGAGAACTGGCACACCGCACGACTCACACACCAAGAAGGTCATCCTAATTTCTAATCACTATAATTGAATAATTGACCAAAAGATTTTTGGAGCAACAATATCTTATACGAATAATTCAAAACATGATGCTCATCAACGACATGACACTCAACAATATCTTATTTAGGAAGCAAACCGTCATCAACTTCCCATACACATTATGTGTATTCAACACCTTTAATCATCCCAACAAAACCCGGAAGGTTATCTTCAACCAATAACAAGCTTTAGCAATAACATTTATCCTTTATATTCCTGCCCAATATTGAAATTTTGTGATTGAGTTACAATATAATTGAAAAACATTGGTTGAAGAAAAAATTGATGTATGACTAGCCATCAATGTATTGTTGCTTATAGTGAAATAATTTACTTGGAGAATCTACAAATGAAATGAAAAATTACAAATGCAAACCCATCATCTTTTCAACAACCAAAATTTCTTGCCATGTTCGACTCAAAACATCTGAACTTTGCTGCAACCCCTTGGTCCCTTTTGCCATATGAACATGTAGTAGGTGCAACAGAGGGAATAGGCACATGTGTAGGAAAGAATACATCACCACAAAACAAAATTAAGAATAAAAAAAAGCCAATGCGGGGTTACCACAAAACATCACCAAATTGAATTACAAGCGGGAAATCATAACATTCACTCAATAGTCTAATGAAGAGTTTCATGAAGTAGGAAAGATTTACTGAGATGTACATTAAGTGTCCACATGCTAATGTTGATTCATATACACAGATGAATATTTTCTTTGACGGGCTTAATCCGACATATAAGAGCCATGTTAATGCCTCAGCTGGAGGATCGTTGTCAAATAAATATGCAAGAGAGGCGTTTAAACTATTTGATATGATGGCTACAAAATCTCAACAATGGGCAGTAGAACATTCACAGAAAAACGGCATTTTTGAGTTATCAGCAGGTTCTCCTAACATGTCTGCACAAATGGAAAAAATGGAGAAGAAAATTGATGCAAAGTTTGATATTATTCTACAACAAATTGCAAATTCTACACAACAACGACCACATACACCAACAGTTTGCAGTATTTGCAGCATGGCTACACACGACATAATGGGCTGCCCGCATAAAGAATCCTACCTGGAGCTTGTTGAACAACATGTCAATATGATGAACAGCTATTAAAAGCCTAGGAATGATGCATATGCAACTCATTACAATTCTGTATGGAGGGATCACCCTAATTTCAAATGGGGTGACAATCAAAATAATGCAAAACTATTCCAGCATGCACAAAAACCTTTTGTTCCCTCCAAACCATCTTTGAATGATCAACTTGCTAAATTGGCAACAACAACCCAATCATTCATATATGACAACAATAAAAGATTTCAAAATGTTGAAACGTCAATTAAAAGTTTGGAGCAACAATTTGGACAGCTAGCTGCACATATTTCAGACAGAGAAAAATGCAAATTTCCTAGTCAAACAGGACCTAATCCAAAAGGACATGAAGATTGCAACGTTGTTCGGACTTTACGGTGTAGAAAAAGTTATGATAACATTACAAATAGCATTGAAAAGGATAAGCCAGCAGTGACAATTTATACAGAAAATATTGAACCTGCAGATTCTGCAGAAAAACAGAATTTGTCTGGCACATACACTGTCACAAAACAAGTTTCTGAGCGTGTTTATGAGACCCTAATTCCATATCCATAACGTTTGAAGCCAAAAACAAAAGAAAAGCAATTGAAGGACTTCATGCAAACGTTATCTAAAGTTCAAATTAACATACCACTACTTGATGCAATCAAAAATATTCATTCATATGCCAAATTTTTGAAAGATGTGTGCACACACAAAAAGAAACTGGTTGATTTTGAAAAAGTTGTTTATACTAAACAATGCAGCGCAGTTTTACAGCACAATTGCCACCCAAAAAGAAAGATCCATGGAGTTTTACAATGTTTTACACTATTGGAAATTCTAATTTTAAACGTGCATTAATTGATTTAGGTGTTAGTATTGATTTTAATGCCTTATTCTGTTTTTCAGAGATTGGGCCAAGGAAATCTAAAACATACATCAGTCATTCCCCAACTAGTGGACCATGCTGTTACTTATTCTAAGGGGATCATTGAAGATTTAATTATCAAGGTTGATAATTTGTATTTACCAGCAGATTTCGTAGTTTTGGATATGGATGAAGATTTGCGAACACCGCTTATTTTGGGAAGACCATTTATGGCAACTACCCGAACATTGATTGATGTGGAAGTAGGCCCTTTAACATTGAGAGTTCAAGACTAATCTGTGATTTTTAGCCTATTTGAAGTTGTAAAACACCCAGAAGAACAGCAAGAATGTATGCGGGCAGATGTGTTAAAATGTGTTATTCATTTAGAAATTATGACCAAATTGACATTAGATCCGTTATTGAGTGTTTTACATGGTCCAGATATAGCACAAACAGAGGATGCATAAATTTTTGAGTATGTAACAGCATTAGACAGTGTACCATCCAAATTACCCTGTTGGAGGCATGTTTATGAAAGCCTTGGGGAGCCAAAAACACCCTTGCAACCTTCTAAGTTGCAGCCCCCAAAACTGGGGTTAAAACCATTGCCAGAACATTTAAAATATGCACATCTTGGGGCAAATGAAACGCTGCCAGTTATTATTGCTTCAGATTTGACAAGTACGGAAGAGAAAAAATTACTGCGTCTTTTAAGAAAATACCAAGATACTTTGGGGTGGACTATAACTTATATTAAGGGTATAAGCCCAGCAATTTGCATGCACAAAATATTGATGGAGGATGACGTAAAGCCTACAGCAGATGCTCAAAGGAGATTAAATCCTATCATGAAAGAAGTTGTGTGAAATGAAGTAATGAAACTACTTGATGCAGGCATGATTTATCCAATTTTTGACAATAAATGGGTTAGCCCTACACAAGTTGTGCCTAAGCAGACCGGTATTACAGTGGTGAAAAATGATAATAATGAGTTAGTTCCTACACGATTGACTACAGGTTGGAGAATGTGTGTAGACTACCAGAAGCTTAACGCATGGACAAGAAAAGACCACTTTCCATTGCCTTTCATTGACCAGATGTTGGAAATGTTGGCTGGGCATGCTTTTTATTGTTTTCTTGATAGGTATTCTGGGTATAATCAAATCCCAATTGCACTAGAGGATCAAGAGAAAACCACTTTCACTTATCCATTCAGTACTTATGCCTATCGGAGGATGCCATTTGGGTTATATAATGCACTTGCCACATTTTAACAGTGCATGATGGGCCTACAGAACAGCGTATAAAACGCCAATCGAGATGTCTCCTTTTCAACATGTTTATAGTAAGGCGTGCCATCTACCTACGAAGGTTGAACACAAGGCTTACTTGGCAATTAAGGAGCTTAATTATGCCTATGATGCAGCTGGAGAAAAACGAAACTCACAGTTGCACGAGTTGGAAGAACTCTGAAATGATGTATATGAAAGTACAAAGATATACAAAGAGAAAACGAAAGCATTCCATGACAGTAACATTCTCCGAAAACATTTTCAGCCAGGTCAGAAGGTTCTATTTTTCAGAAGGTCTCTACATTATTACTAAAGTATATACACACAACGCTGTGGATATTAAAAATGGAAAGGCCAGTTTTGAGTTTAAAGTAAATGGCCATAGACTCAAACACTACTTGGAGGCACCGTTTGACATTGTAGCCAAGTCAGTGACTCTGAAGGAACCAGTGATCTGACCACCAACCTTCGACAATGTCTAACTATAGACATTAACTAAAGCGCTTATTAGGAGGCAACCCAATTTTTATGAACTTTTTACTTATTTTTCTTTTTATTTGTATTTTTTTTTTTTTTTTTTTTTTTAATTTCTTAATTGGTTAATGGCAGGTCGCAGCACATAAACAAATACAAGTAGAAAATCCTATACTGGAATCCTGCACCCAGCAGCAATTGGAATTATGCACCCCAGCAGCAACTGGAATCATGCACCCAGCAGCAAGTCTACATTAATATCACCACATCTACACTACGCTGGAAGTTAAAGCAATTAACATGAGCTCACTCAACGATGCAAGTTTGGGGTCGTTGTGTAGATCTAGCGCAGACACATAATTTTGAACAGTTAAAACACATAGCCCTACACCACAACATTGAGTACAGCTCTTACTATCAGATCTACAACCACCAAATTTACAGGAATTCGAAATTATACTCACAAGAAGTACGGATCCACCTCTCGCACTCCCATGTGATTTCATGTCCTTTGAGCTTGTGTGTTGACTGCCCTCTCCTGGATTTGCATTTTCCCTAAGCAGTGCACATCAATATGAGTACTCATAAGGACACAAAACACACATCTATACATATCACACACCTACACAGACCATGACAAAAAAAAAACCTCAGAAGCCCACCTTACCCTCATATGGATATCAGCTCTATTGTCCTTAATTTCTTTGATCTGCTCTTCGTTCAACTTGTCAACAGAGCACATCAATGCCAGCAAGCCAAACATGGCGTACTGACAATGGTAACCCACTATGATGCCTTTGGACTGCGATTAACTCAGATCCGAGACGATTGATGAAAATATCCAGAACCCATTTACGAGCTTTATCGTAGACACGGTGAGATCGACTGATCATCACCATGGATGCAGGTGAATGAAGATGAATGGGCTGACAATGAGAGCAGGCCCTTGAGTTCTTGAGAAAAATGAAGAAGGGAAATGGCGGAGATGGATGGTTTTGCACTGAGAGAAATAAGAGATGTTTTTATGATTTTTTATATATTGTTTTTTACACAGAGAGAGGTTTTGTGTTCTAAACACAATATTCCTTTTTATTCTGCAAATGAGATATGAATGGACAGAAGATAGTTGTTTGGCTCTGGCCGCGAGGCTAGTGGAAAGATATCCAAAGCGTGTTCAAGAATAGCTACCTTTATTTTTTCACATGACAGATGCAGCTGCTACACCAGTTATATAGTAGCTGTCGCTAGGATTTGACACAAGTGTGTACTTGTACGTGTTGGTCAGTGCGCCTTCGCCAGTTCCCAGCTACTAAGACACAGTTTTCAGTATCTGATTCTTCACTAGAGGCAATACCTGCAGCAGGCAGACCACTCAAAGGGTTGTGGACAACAATTTTAAAATGGTCTTGGCAATACCTGCAGCAGGCAGACCACTCAAAGGGTTGTTGGCTGCTCATGCAAATGATGTTCCTAATTGCATAGTCTATCATGCCCAAGAAGAGAGAGACACATTTGAAATCAAGCACCACATGCTTGATATTTTACCAACATTCTGTGGGCTGCCTAATGAAGATGCAAACATACATATTGCAAAATTTATTGTGGGTTGCAAAAATATTTTGATTCGAGGTTTTTCTGCTGAAGCTATTAAGTTACGTCTTTTCCCTTTCACTTTGAAGGACAAGGCGGAAACTTGGTTGTTCACTCTACCGACAAATAGCATTACTACTTGGCAACAATTACATACAAAATTCATGAACAAGTATTATCTAGCATCCAAGACATTGAATTACAAGAGGAAAATCATGACAATCACTCAGAAGCCTAATGAAGAGTTTCATGAAGTGTGAAATATGGATTCATGTCCTTGTAAAATAAGGATTTACAACATTAAGGATTATGAGAACTCTAATGTTGTAATCGTGGTGCAAAAACCTAAAAATCACTACCTAAATTGTGTACATTACATGTTTATGGATCTTTTTTACAATGTTTTGGTACCCTCGTGTCCCAAAATTCTAAAATGGGCCCTTAATCTTGTAAACCCTCATTTTACTAGAATAAGGACCCAATTTTACATCCTCATGGTTCAAACTTACCAATCTTTGTAATATGGATCCATATCCTTGTAAAATAAAGATTTACAACATTAAGGATCATGAGAACATTAATGTTGCAATGGTGGTTCAAAAACCTGTAAATCACTAACCAAATTGTGTAACCTATATGTTTATGGATACTCTTTACAATGTTATGGTACCCTTGTATCCCAAAATTATAAAATCAACTCTTAATCTTGTAAACCCTAATTTTACTTGAACAATGACCTAATTTACATCCTCATGATCCACACTTACCAATTCTATGTAATGTGGATCTATATCCTAGTAAAATAAGGATTTACGATATTAAGATTCGTGAGAACCCTAGTATTGTAATCTTAGTGCAAAAACTTGTAAATCAATACCCAAATTGCATAACCTACATGTGTTTATGGATCCTCTTTATAATGTTATGGTACCCTCGTATCCCAAAATTGTAAAATGGACCCTTAATTTTGTAAACCTTCATTTTACTATAATAAGGACCCCAATTTACATCTTCATGGTTCATACACACCAATTCTTTATAATGTGGATCCATATCCTTGACATTAAGAATCATGAGAACCTTAATGTTGTAATCTTGGTGCATAAACCTGTAAATCACTACCAAAATCGTGTAACCTACATGTTTGTGGATCCTCTTTACAATGTTATAGTACCCTCGTATCCCAAAACTGTAAAATAGGACCTTAATCTTGTAAACCCTCATTTTACTATAATAAGGACCTAATTTACATCCTCATGGTCTGCACTTATCAATTCTTTGTAATGTGGATTCATATCCTTGTAAAATAAGAACATTAAGGATTGTGAGAACCCTAATGTTGTAATCGTAGTGCAAAAACTTATAAATCACTACCTAAATTGTGTAACTTACATGTTTATGGATCTTTTTTTACAACGTTTTGGTACCCTCGTATTCCAAAATTGTAAAATCGGCCCGTAATGTTGTAAACCCTCAATTTACTAGAATAAAGACCTCAATTTACATCCTCATGGTTCAGACTTACCAATTCTTTGTAATGTGAATCCATATCCTTGTAAAATAAGGATTTACAACATAAATAATCATGAGAACTCTAATGTTGTAATTGTGGTGCAAAAAAACTATAAATCACTACCCAAATTATGTAACCTACATGTTTATGGATCCTCTTTACAATGCTATGGTACCCTCGTATCCCGAAATGGTAAAATCGGCCCTTAATGTTGCAAACCCTTATTTTACTATAATAAGGACCTAATTTACATCATCATGGTACACACTTACCAATTCTTTGTAATGTGGATCCATATCCTTGTAAAATAAGGATTTACAACATAAAGAATCATGAGAACCCTAATGTTGTAATTGTTGTGCAAAAAAATTGTAAATCACTACCCAAATTATGTAACCTACATGTTTATGGATCCTCTTTACAATGCCATGGTAGGTATCCCAAAATGGTAAACTCGGCCTTTAATGTTGTAAACCCTCATTTTACTAGAATAAGGACCTAATTTACATTCTCATGGTACACACTTACCAATTCTTTGTAATGTGGATCCATATCCTTGTAAAATAAGGATTTACAACATAAAGAATTATGAGAATCCTAATGTTGTAATTGTGGTGCAAAAAACTGTAAATCACTACCCAAATTATGTAACCTACATGTTTATGGATTCTCTTTACAATGCTATAGTACCCTCATATCCCAAAATGGTAAAATTGGCTCTCATTCTTGTAAATCCTCATTTTACTAGAATAAGGACCTAATTTACATCGTCATGGTACATACTTACCAATTCTTTGTAATGTGGATCCATATCCTTGTAAAATAAGGATTTACAACATTAAGAATCATGAGAACCATAAGATTGTAATCTTGGTGCAAAAACCTGTAAATCACTACCCAAATCGTGTAACCTACATGTTTATGGATCCTCTTTATAATGTTATGGTACTCTCGTATCCCAAAATTGTAAAATAGGCCCTTAATCTTGTAAACCCTCATTTTACTAGAATGAGGACCTCCATTTACATCATCATGGTTCAGACTTACCAATTCTTTATAATGTGAATTCATATTCTTGTAAAATAAGGATTTACAACATTAAGAATGTTATAATCTTAGTGCAAAAACCTATAAATCACTACCTAAATTGTGTAACCTACATGTTTATAGATCCTCTTTAGAATGTTATGGTACCCTCGTATCCCAAAATTGCAAAATCGGCCCTTAATCTTGTAAACCCTCATTTTACTAGAATAAGGACCTAATTTACATCCTTATGGTCCGCACTTAGTAATTCTTTGTTATGTGGATCGATATCTTTGTAAAATAAGAACGTTAAGGATTATGAGAACCCTAATGTTGTAATCGTGGTGCAAAAACCTGTAATTCACTACCTAAATTGTCTAACTTACATGTTTATGGATCCTCTTTACAATGTTATGGTACCCTCATATCCCAAAATTTTAAAATCGGCTCTAAATCTTGTAAACCCTCATTTTACTAGAATAAAGACTTAATTTACATTCTCATGGTCCGCCCTTGCCAATTATTTGTAATGTGGATCCATATCCTAGTAAAATAAATATAACATTAAGGATTATGAGAACCCTAATGTTGTAATGGTGGTGCAAAAACCTGTAAATCACTACCCAAATCGTGTAACTTACATATTTATAGGTCCTCCTTACAACGTTATGGTACGCTCATATTCCAAAATTGTAATCGGCCCTTAATCTTGTAAACCCTTATTTTACTAAAATAAGGACCCAATTTATATCCTCATGGTCCGGAGTTACTAATTCCTTGTAATGTGGATCCATAGCCTTATAAAATGGGGATTTACAATATTATGGATTGGCTAAACCCTAAATTTCTAATCCCGCTCTATAAATTTGTAAATCGCAACCCAATTCTTGTAACATGCATGTTTATGGATCTTCCTTCCAATGTTGTAGTACCCTCATATAGAAAATTTGTAAAATCGGCACTTAATCTTGTAGAGCTCATCTGTACTAAATAAGGACCTAATTTACATTTTCAAGGTCCACACTTACCAATTACTTGTAATATGGACCCATATCCATGTAAATGAGGATTTACAACATTATAGATTCGATGAACCCTAATTTTGTAGTCATGGTTCAAAAACTTGTAAATCACTGTCAAAATCTTGTAACTTTAAGTTTTGGGATCCTCTTACAATGTTATGCTACCCTCATATCCAAACTATTTTAATATCAGTCCTTAGTCTTGTAAACCATCAGGTTTACTAGAATAAGGATCCCATTTTATATCCCTAAGGTCTACACTTACCAATTCCTTGTAATGTTGATCTATGTCCTTATAAAATGGGGATTTATATGGGAAGCTAGGAGATTGGTAACTTTCTTCTCCTTTATTACCCCATTTAGCATTTTATTATGTTACAATACATATATATAAAAAGTTAGTATTTTAGTTGAAATTATACATATTATATGTAAATACTATATTTATGAGTAGATATTTATTAAACAATTTTTTTATGGATGGGAAATTGGAAACCTATATAACAAGGATAAGAACCAAAAATCAGAGAAGGATCATAAGGGAAATTTTTATGGGAACATGAATATAAGGATGACAATGTATTAATTAATTTTTTTAGGCACAAAAATAAGTTTGTAAAAGCCAAGGTCTAAAATATCGATGGTATAGGAAATATCGATAGTCTAAAAACACGGAAATTTATATGGAAATATCGGGATATTATCGATATCGATAAAAATTGAATAAAAACCATGGAAATTGTAAGAAAAACTTAGAAATTTTTATTGAAACTTTGGAGAATTTTTATTCAATCAATTATCTATTATTTTATCACAAAAAAAAAGGAAGGAAATGCATTGCATGATGGGTTTAACTGATTTAAGTTGATTATATAGCGAGCTGAAAAACACTATGAGTTTCAAAAATATGTAGTAATTAATGAAAAAAATTAAACACACCATAGTCATTTATATATCATGATTTATTATAATATTTTACACTGTATACATAGCATTGATAACATACATGAGTGACTTAGTACCACATAGAGTTCCTATGAGGTTCAAATTTGACTTAGTACCACATAGAGTTCCTATGAGGTTCAAATTTTTCAATATCTTCATCATCTCCATGTGTAAAGTAAGTGTATTGTGAAGAGTAGTCATCAAATAATAAATCTCTAAAATAGTTTTGCATGTAATTGTTAACATGCCACCCATATGGATCCGAGATTGGTTGACGTTGTCCATAAGCAAAATCATTTGAAGATTGGATCTCAGATTCTTTCCATGAGCCGCTCGATTTCATCCCAAAAGGAAAGGTTAAAGACTCACATTCTCATGTGAAAATCCGATTCTTGCAAAAATAGTTCAAAACAAAACAATATAAATTGACATATTTTAGCATATTATCTCAAAAACATAAGCATGGTTAAGGAGTTGGAGGAGTGAAATGGCAAGGGTGAATCCCCTTTGCGTGTGTGCTTTGTTTGTTTGTTTGTTTTTTTTTCTTTCTATTACATCGATATTTTCAATATTTTTGATATTATAGCGATATTTTGACAAAATATTGCTGAAGTGTGAGCGAAATTATCTACATCAATATTTTTCGATATTATCGATATTTATACGATATGTGTATGGATACGTTTCGAAATATCCGTGATCCGAAAAAACGATAATATCCTCAATATTTCGTTGATATTATCGATATTTTAGACTATGGTAAAAGTATATTTTGAATATGCTATAAGTCATATTCAAGAAATAATATATAGTTTTGGTTTTAAGACATTTGTCTCAAATTATTTTAGAATTAGCTTGAATTCGAAAATTTCGTACATGAGAAGTGAATGAGATGGTAATTCAATCACTTTCTTCCCCTTCATTACCTCATTTAGTATTTTGTTATGTTACATACTTATATAAAATTTTGAGTATTTTAGTTGAAATTTTATATATTTTATGTAAATATCATAATTATGTATTATATGTTGATTATAAAGTGCAATATATATTTTAAAGTATTATATTATTAGATATTCTTATTTAACATTTTTTTTATCAATTGGAATGTGAACCAGTTATATTACGAGGATATTAACCAAAAACTAGAGAAGGATTATAAGGGAAATTTTTGTTGGAAAATGCTATGAGTTATCTTCAAAAAATAATATATATTTTTTGTTATAAGACATTTGTTTAAAGTTATTTTTAGAATAAGCATGAATACATATAGATTTTTATATAATAATATGTCATCTTGAGAAGTAATTATTGTGTGACTTCAGAGTACGATCATATATTATTTAAGTGGACAGTTATTTGTATTATGTCTTAAAATTTGAATATCTTATCGTTGATTGATATTATAACACGTGAAGGAGTTATACAATGTAGTCATATTTTAGTTCCCTATAATAATTATTCACATTTAAGAAATAACAAAAAAAGAAAAAAGAAGAAGAATAGTTTAGATGTTCAAAAATTGTTTTTGGTTACAAGTAAAAAAACAATTTCAATTTGGCTAATTGGATTTATATGAAGCTACCCAAGTTTTATTATTTTTAGTTAGAAGTTATATAAAGCCACCCCTAACTCATGAATCATAAAAAAATATGCACCATAGATAGGGCTCGTCAATGGGCCGGGCCGGGCTAACTCGGCCCAAATTTAATAAGCTTGGGCCGGGCTTTAAAGAGGAGAGAGAAAATACCGGGTCGGGCTAGGCCGGGTTTTTTTGGAAAATTCCAAGCCCAAGGCCAACTCATGGGCCAGGCTAAGCCCAACAGGCCTACTTCATTAAAAAAAATCATAAACTTAATCATAAGAGCATTTTTCTCCAAATTTGAGATTAAACTCACTTAATTCCAATATTTTCACTTCAAACCAAATTCATAAAACACCCAATAAAGTCACACAACTTAATAAGATTTTCCACAAAAATAATAAAACCAAGTATTATTTTTGAGGTTATTACATAATTAGACCGTAATACGTTTTAAAAAATAATAAGTATAATTTTTTTATTTTTTTTAAAGGATGGTGTGAATAAATATGCAAATATTTGGTGATGTGTTCAAGAAAGGCATGATTATATTTGGTGGTATGATTATGCTTCGTGATATGATTATATTTGGTGATGTGATATGTTGTTCATCTTATTTATATATTTATATATATATATATACATACATAATTGTGGAATTAATAATTGACACAAATTAATGTGCTAATCATCCAATTATAAACTAGGAATGAGTAAAGAAAAGTAAATGAAATGAAACAAATTATATGTGATTTAAGTGATATAATCATAAACCTAAACTCTTATTTATACATAATTATATATGTATGCGGGCCTAACGGGCTGAGCTTTTGTGGGAGGGTCGGCCCGGGCTTTCTTGGGCTTAACTAGGCTGGGCTGGGCTTTAGACACCCAAGCCCAAGCTTAGCCCAACCCAAGGCGGGCCAGGCCATCTCAAAGCCCATAACGAGCTGAGCCTGGCTTTTTTTTTATGGGCCGGGCGAGCCCCCATCGGCCCATGAGCCTGCGGGCCAAATGATGAGGCCTAACCATAAACGTTGCCCGTTTGGAAAAACCAAGTCACATTTTACATGTTTTACTCTTTTTAGTCGCAACTTGTCACAAAGAACAGGAAATGAAAGAAATGAAAATAGAGTTGGGGTTGGGGTTTTGAGATTGTGGGCCCAAATGACTGCTCTCAAAATAAGCTCAAACCCAATTAGCTACACCCAAATGTGTGAAATGCTTTCTCACATTGGGCTCCAAAATGGGGTACCTATAACCCGTTGCATCAGACCGTTGATATCCAATCAGACGGTTGTAATAATCTTCAGTTATTTTGATGTCCGGCCGAGGCAAAGGATAAAACGCGAGAGGAAAGAGAGAGAAAGAGGACGACAGAGAAGAACAGAGGAGAAAGGAAGAACGAAAGGAGAAGAAGACCAGAACACAAAAGACGGAAGCGGAGAAGCAAGATTGAAACACCAATCTTCATCTCCATCTGGGCTTTCATTGTTTTGGTGAAACCTTTCAATTTTTTCTTTTGCTAAAAAAAATTCTCAAACTTGTGTCATTTGCATGGAAAAATCTCATTGTAAGCTTTCTTCTTCTTACTTTTGGTGTTATATTTCTTCAAATTATCTTCATCTCTAGTTTCTTTGTTACACAAAGCTCTCTCTTCTGTCTCCGTTTGGGTTTGGGGATAGATTTAGTTTTGTGACCATTCTGTTGTTTTGATTGCAGGGTAGTTTGAGAAGGATTTGGCTGTTACAGTCTTAGATCTTGAATCTTCAGGCTTAGGTATTATCATGTTTCTTTGGGTTTTCCCTGTTCTGGGTTTTATCAGTTGGCAAAGACAGCCCAATTTTTCTTTGGAATTTTGATTTCTAGTTAACTGTTTAAATTGATTTTTCACTTCTGGGTTTTATATGGCGGCATTCAAATTTTCAGTTTTCAATTATTATTTTTAATTTTAATGGCAGATATGGAGACAGAAGAGAGAAATCAGAGAGCGCCTAAAGCTTCAGAACCAGAATTTTTCTTGCAGTGGGGGAACAGAAAGAGACTCAGATGTGTGAGAGTCAAAGGCTCAGAAATCTCCGAGAGGCTCAATGGTGGCATCTTCAGGAAAATCACATCATCTCGGATCCAAAGCTTTGCGGTCTCCGCTTCAGAAAAAGAGAACTCTCATCTTCAATCCAATCGCCTTACCAGGTGAGAAAATTTTAAATAATTCTTCTGGGCCACGCCTCCGCCCTGTTTGGTTGCTGAGAAAGTAAAGGGGAAAAAAAAACGAAGAGACAATTTGAAGCCAATTTTCTTTTATTTGTGCTCATTTTTTACTCGGGTTTTATTCTATTTTTGGTTCTATTGGATCCCAACTACTAGTATATAATTCCATACCCTTTCCCCACCCATCAAAGACGGGTTTGATAACAGGAAAGTTCAGTTTTAAAAGGATAAATTTTGTTTTTCTTTTTCGGTGAAAAGGCTAAAAAAATTGCGGGTCTTTTTGGTTACAGGAATTCTGAGGGGACCGTGCTCCGGTCAGGTGCAGGTGAGAACCGGAAGTCGTCTTCGCCGGAAAAGGAGGACAGGTACTACACCACAAGAGGATCAGTGGGTGTGGATGAGAATGGGAATGGGAAGGTCATAATGGATGGAAATAATGGAGAGGACCGGGGGTTTGTGTGGCCGAAGCTTTACATCACTTTGTCAAGCAAAGAGAAAGAGGAGGACTTTTTGGCCATGAAGGGTTGCAAACTTCCCCAAAGGCCAAAGAAAAGGGCCAAACTCATCCAAAGAAGCTTACTTGTAAGTTATTTTGTTGTTCTTATTATTTATTATTTTGATTTCTTGCCTAATAAATAGATTTGAAATTGGTTTAGATATTGATTTTGTTTTCATTTTTGATTGGGTGGTAGTTGGTGAGCCCTGGTGCTTGGCTCACTGATATGTGCCAAGAGAGATATGAAGTTAGGGAGAAGAAAAGTTCTAAGAAGGTACTTGGACTAGACTTGTCTGATTTGCTGCAGCAAGTAATTTTCTTTTGGTTGGTTTTTGGCTGGGAGTAATAATATTTTCAATTGGGTTAATGGGTTTTCTTCCTTTTGAGTGATGCAGAGACCAAGAGGATTGAAGGCTATGGGGAGTTTGGGAAGCGACTCAGAATGACAGATGCTGAATTTTGTTGAAGCAGAAGACAGTTTTCTTGATTCTGTTTTAGAAGAAGAAGATAAATGGAGTTGTTAGGCTTTTGTTAGGGTGGACGGTGGAAGGGGTTAAGAGTAAATGATTATGCTTTTGTATAGAAACTATGAGCAGTGTCTTAATCTATAATGAAAATGTATTCTAAATTTGTGTTGTTGATCTGCACAATTGTATTTTCTCACCAAAAAAGTTGTTTGCTGTCATTGTGATCTGCACAATTGTATGGACCCAAAATGTCAACTTGTGACGAGGAAGGAATAATCTGGTGGTAACTTGAATATCCGGAAAAGGTAAAAACAACATTATCAAAATGAAATATTCAAGTACAAAGTGAAGGTCAAATGTAGTAGTTATACTTATATGTCGAGCTAGCTTTAGCTGGCAAAGCCCACACAGAGTTCCTATCCTAAGTTGAAATGAGAGGGCACTCAAATGTCTTCCAGTTCATGGTCAAATTGACAAATGTAGTGTCTAAATATGCGTACTAGCTGTCTTTTACTTACAGCCCTATTCCTTTCCTCATCGGGAATTTCTTTTTGTTGTTAAATTTTTGGCTAATTGTTAAGGAATCAATTGGCTATTTGACTAATAATATATTTATCTTTAAATACAAGTAATAGCCTAAATCGCTACTTTGACTAACTGATCTAATTCACATTTGCAACAGATTTACTATGGCCTAATTCGCTATTTTGACCAATTGACTTAATTCACGTTTACAATATGGTTTACTTAATAATGGAACAACTATTAAGTGATAAAAGAAATATTCATATAATTATTTTAATTTCATATGAAGGGAAGAAATAAAATTGTTTTTGCCCAATCCCATGAATCGTGACCTCTCTTAATAGGAAGGTCATGCTAGAGGCTTGTAACTTAAGTAGTTAAGAGGGGCATTTACTCCAGCATACAAAGTCCAAGGTTTAATTCCCCCTTTCTCAATATCACTTGAAGGTCATAGCCATCATTGATTGATTTAATACAAACCAAGACTAAAATTAGAAGATTATTTAGGAGGGAGTTTGTCTTAGACAGGCCAGACTAAGGTTACGTAGGGGTTTAGTAAAGTAAACCAACCTTTGAGGGCTTTGCCTTTAATTATAACTCGAAATCCCATTTTTATTTATGTTTTGTGGTCCAAACCACCTTGGATTTATAATTATTTATAATCTTATCATATTCAATTTTACAACAGCTTTGGAATTCTAAATAGGTGAGCCATATCAGAAAAACTCGATCCAACAGGCTCTTCAACATCAATCATCAAAGCTTCAACCTCTCTCTCTCTCTCTCTCTTCAGGACTGGTAAGTTGACTTTGGTTCTTCAAACATTTAATTTCACTTTGGAAAAACAAAACCTACCTTGAAAATGTTAAAAATATGCATTTTGTTTTCTTCATATAATAAATACATAGACATTTTTCATTCTTTTTCATGATATTGCATTAATTGAATTGAAGAGTGTTGGAGCAAAAATTATTCAAGTAGCAAATAAGGCTTTTCAAATTGCCACGTAGGTCAACAAACTTCAATTTAAAAAGTTTTATTTCCTACTACTATTGGAGATGCTCTTACTAATCTCAACTAAAAGCTAGGGTCCGATTAATTTTGATTAACTTACAATGGGGCCCTGAATCTGTTACTTTTGTTGTTTTGCTACTATCATTTCATTTCCCAAGCATAATAATAATGTCATACTTTTGGATCACTATCCAGTCCCTTAATAGGAAGTCAACCAAATTAATTGCTAGACTAGATCAACATAAACAGACGGTTCACTGGAACGTCATAAAAACACCTGAACCCAAACAAGTCAAATTCTATTCGAAAATATTATCACCTTCTCATATATTTCAAATCCCAATTGGGTTCCAACTTCTATAGCAATTTATTCTTTACACAATCTCTCAAGGAAACAACAAGGACAGCGGAAAAAGATTATTCTATGTATAGAATATACAATATCACTTTTGACATTAAACAAGTATGATTTTAGAAACCATTTATATTGATCCTGTAACCATGACCCTTACTAATATGCAGACTTTCTTTCTGAGAATACAAGAGAACACACGATCTTTTCCCAATATTATCTCGATTCACCTCTTCCAAGTCCAGATTTCACCATCCTCAGAGAAGGCAGTTCTGAGGTGCTGAAACATCCTACAAAGGAAAACAGGATAAGAATATCATAAAGAAACGACTCTATGGATAACATCATAATAATACCAGCATAAAATGGAACATACGTAAAACGCCACCCTAGATCAACTCCATACATGGTAATACCTCGGATAAGACTGTCCATACAGGTTTTCCTGGTTAGGCATCTTTGGGGTCTGCTTTGTTCACGATGTTTTAGTTTTTTACGTTTTCTGTTTGTCTGTTGTGGCCATCTTGACCACCCCTGCTTTTATTGTCATATGCAATAAAATTCCGTCTCTTTTAATAACCAATCCAAACCATCTAAATCAGCACAAAACAAACCTTAAATCAAATAAATTAAATTTTGTTTTTGTTTTAAAGAAGGTTTTCCAAACAAACATCCCTGACAAAGATAACTAAATCATCCAAATTCCCTTTCTCTTCATGAAAGGCAAATAGTTGAAACTTGAAAGAGTGGCAGAGAAAACCATAAGAGGCCTTACCCCTCCAATTCGCTCCTTTTCTTTTTCTAAAGTTTTTGTTTTATTGTCTCAATTTTTACCAGTGGCTAGGGGCTACCAGAGAAAAGAATTTAAAAGAAAAACGCCAGCCTATACAAACTCAATATTTATCACTAAAAATTAGATAAGCGCACCTTCTTGTGTACTCTGTGATCAACTACCTTGAGGCTTCGCAGCATGAAGCATATCCACTATTAGAGTCTTCACATCCCTAAAAAGATAAACACAGAAAAAGAAATTGAACTTCTTATAAACAATTTAAACAAACTCAAACCATGCAGCAAGAACTTTTCATAGCAATCTTCATACCAAAAACATATATTTATAACTGGAAAAAAAAAAGGAAAAGAAAAGAAACATACAATTGTCAAAACAGTACTTCATAATCAAAAGTAAAGTCATTAGTCGGTCACATTAGAATATTACATTATTTAAATAGGACTTTTCTGTCCTCCACCCTTGTACTGAAAGACCTACAGTCAGGTACCCAGTATTTGAGGGATAAGTCTCACACTCCAGGGTTCGGATGACTGTGGTGACATCGAAACTTTTGGTAATCATATACTTTTAAGACAAACTTTGAGTTGCTATAACTCAATCTCATCCAAATGTTTTTCTATAAGAAACAAAGACTATATTAGATAAAGACATAAAGGTACAATATAATTGTCCACCAGCAGCGGACAAGCAGTCCACTAACACACAAAGAGAAAAGTAACCTATCCTTTTAGTTACATTCAATGCTCAGAAAAATGGTTATAATAGTATGAAAATTCAGCAAACTGCAGATCCCCAAATCCAAATGAAAAATGAAGAACCAAATATCTAAATCAATGGAAGTGATTCCTACAACAAAGCTCAAAACTGCACTATTTTGCAAAAGAAATCCTCCTCTTTTCCCAGTTTCCCTTAAAAAGTCAAACATTTCTTTCTAACCAAGCCACCCAAAAGAAATTCAAAAGACAACAGTTTCAGAAAATTTTCGCCCCTTTATTCTCCACCAAAGGCACAAAGTTTCTCAACAAATAACAAAATACAAAAGCCAGAAAAGCCAACTCAACCTCGTCTCGGAAAAAAATAATAATTCTAAAAACTAACTGCAATTGGTATGGATAAATGAATAATCAACGCCCGCCATTCCTTTTCTACACATTATACACCAAGAATGTGAAAAGAAAACATTAGGACTCATTCATTGAACATATCAAAGGTTCTAACCATCCTATGAGAAATCATCCAAACAAGAATTTCTACCTTACAAGTACCCTCAGGACTACGTTATTGACCAATCATTTCGGATGGATTATTATTATTATTATTATTTTTTTCTGATAGAATTTATTGGATGAACTTTCAAGAAGAATTTCCAGAAGATTGAAGTTGTCACACCCTTCTATCATCCCACAAAGGGTACAAAGAAACCTTTTCAATACAAAATAGCATACAGGGAGGCTGACCAATTTCAATGTAATTTAATTCCTTTGGAACTGAAATTTCTAACCCAATAAATAAAGGGATGAGATTGGCAAAGTGGGAATTAATATGTTATGAAAACATGACAATTTATAAAGACACGGGAAAAATAAATTCAAAGGAATTCTCAACCCATTTATCATCCCAGAACCTAATTCTCTTCCCGTCTTTCCGTTCTCTACAACCAGACAGTTTATGAGAACAAGTGTGAATTCCCTGTGAAATATACTTACACCATGCAAAAGAATATTGATATCTACACATGAAGGTCAGGAATAAAAATACTGTGATCTATAGAAGTAAAATACTAACATTAATGATACAACCCTAGTAGAATAATCTGAAAGGAATTAGTCTGAAATTTCTTGTTATAATGTTAAGAAAAATTATTAATGACGCCATGTATGTAACTCGGGCTAGAATAGCTTCTTTTGTTTTTTTTTTTTTTTTTTTTGGGGGTTCGACCCGCCATTCACCAAAAATAAATCAAGACAAACTATGATTTTCAATTAATTGAGTGCATCCTGTAGCCATCAACCATGAAAAAGAACAACTATCCTCCGCCCAATGCCATGATCTATGCAGTACAACATTAACATAAAAGGTAAATCTGGACTTCCACAAGAAAAGGAAATATTCATTTAAATGAGATGTCTCACTTTCGATCCTCTGCACGTCTAGTAAAAGGTATGCGAAGCTTGAAATTTTCACCTTGATAACCAGCCTAAAAGAAGAATAATAAAGTCAACAATATATGTCAAAATGGAAGAAACAAATGAATTTGGCTTGGGTAAAACAGAATTTGTTTAGTATTGATAAGGGGTAAGAGGCTTAGAAAATAATGACTTTTTGATTGTAGAACAGTTATTCTACATTAATGGTTTCAGTTTGAATGAACTGAGGTTTATTTTTTTCCTCACGAAGTTACAATAGAATTTGAACCCAGGTTCTACCACTTCACACCCAGCTCCAATGCCACTTGAGCTATGGGCTTTATTTAGTTTGGAAAAAAACTGATTCTGTATATTATTTCGGCACAAGAAAAATGGTTTATTAAAAATATAAATGGGTTATTAAAAACAAAAAGTTAAATTGGCAGTACCTTAACATTAAAACCAAGGCTATCCAAATCCAAAATGTAGGCAAAGTCCACCTGGAGAAAAATATAAATAAGCTTGCATCAAACTATTCTCTCTCCACCTGTCCATCTCTGTGTATATATCTTGTATTATTCCAAAATACACATAAATGGACCTGAGAAATTCATGATGCTTCCAAAAAGAGTCACCCTGGCATATCCGACATGTCTTAGGGCGATATTGACACCAAATGCATTGATTTAGTTTTAACCAAGGATGAAAATGTCAGCCGTGCAGATAGTATCGGCCCCCAATTTACAGATATTTCAGGGGATATTTTGATATCATTTTTGATATCGGTGTATATTGATGTTGTTGGTTCATTTGGATCAGAATGATCATTAGATTAATTGGATATTTAGTTTGATTAAATGGATGGGTTAGTAGATGGGTATTAAATTAAGGTTTAATTTGGTTCAAATTTGACTTAATTATACATTAAAAAATCACGAAATTTTTCTGCGTTTTTAGGCTGCCATCAGGAAATGTCCGTACTATCATCAAATATCGGGGAAATATCACCGATATATGGTGTAGAAATAGGATTACCCCAAGGTATCCGTGTCAACACTTTGAAAATCTGACATATCAGCTTATATTTTCATCCTTGGTTTTACTTAACTTGAGCAAAGTTTCTATCTCCTATACAGAGAAAGAAATGAACAATGAAATGAAGGAAAGAAAAGAAACTCCTTTCCCATTAGTTTTCCAACAGTTGAAATTACCGGAATCGATGTGGAGTGTTGCACAATGGCCTTCGTATCTTCAGCATGATCCCTATTCATGTGAGACTGACAAACAAAAGTTTTCAAATTCAGTTAGAAAGGACAACCAATTCAAATTAAGATAACCAGAAAACATATAATGATAAGAAATTAGTACTGCAACAGGCTTTGAAATTGAGCAATTGGATCAACTTTTGCAGCTTTATACTCCTCATTACTGAACTCTGAAAGCAAATAAGTAAATGTTAAGAACAACCAAAAAAGGTGAGATAAATGTAACAATATAATTAAATAAATAAATAAAATCCAGAAGAGGTGTTAAAAACAGAAGACAGCATGTAATAATTCAAAATCAAGGCATTTGTATGCTCCTTTCCAAAGATATCTAGAGAAAGTGAAATATTTTGTGAGTGACAAAACTACCAAAAAAAAAAAACATTGAACCATAAACAATCAAAAGTACCTCCTGATCCCAGTAAAGCTGTTGCAACCCCTGAAACGTATCGCACAACTTTTGGCTCGATGCGTATGAATTGGAAGTCACCAAAGTCAACCTTCAGATTGTATGTGATGATTTATTACTGACTAGAAATATATCATCCATATACATTTATTATGCTAAACAAGAGTGCAAAGTTACCCAAAATGCCTTGGGATGCCTAGCCAAATATGCAGTACGTATGGCTGCTTGATCCTTCTCTGGAACCTAAATGATTGTTTAAAGAGAAAAAAACATTTCAAACTGCTTGCAGCCAAAGAGAGTGAGAGATAGATAGATAGATAGATAAAGTGCACTTTACACACCATGCAAAATTGGTAAACAATTATTACTTACAGGAATAGCATCACCATGCAGAGTGACCACCAAATCAGTCCTATCTTCAGGATCTCTAGCCACAAGCAATGAGCACTTGGGATTAAGCGTTAGGTCCTATTGAACCAAAAAAAATAACAACATGATGGGATATTATATTGTTGAGATTGCTGTGAATAACAGCATGATCCACTAAGTAATGAACTAGCAGCTATATTTGACGTGGCCGGTTTGAATGCTTGGAAAACTACATGTTTTTACACAAAATTATATTTCATGGATTGGAAGTTTAAAAAGTAATGATGCCATAGTCTTCCTTTCATATGAAAGAAGGTCAGTATCATTTAAAGTGAAGAAAGGTTGCCGTCTATGAATCTATATAAATATTTTGTAGCTCAGTTGCAATCTATATAACATAATCAATTATCATAGGGTACTGAAGTTGTAAAATTTTACCGTGATAAGAGTTTGACCAACAACTTACATCTGTATCAGCTACTAAACGTGCTGAAGGAGGAGGGAATCCCATTGACCAAATGAATGTTTTTACAGATTCATGAGAATAAATGCAGAGGAACCCACAAAGTAATAAAGCAGTAGCTAGTTTTTACTTCAACTTGGTGGTTTTCTTGAAAGCTACATGTGTTACAGAAACTTATATGTAATGGATTGGAAGTCTAAAAAGTAATACAGTCATTATCTTCCTTCCATATGAAGGACGACCAGCATCCATACATGTGAAGAAAGGTTGCCGCTTATGCATCTGTATAACTAATGCTAGCAGCTTTAGTTACAATTATTCGCTTGAGTGTGAGCATTGACCAAGAGTGAAACGGATATAGGATAATGGTAATAGAAAGAAAGAAAGAAAAGAGAGATCCAGACCGACTCTGGTCTCTGGCATCTCGCACCAAAGGTATATTGGAATCACTCCCATAGAAATTTGAAAAATTCAGGCTTCCCATCAGGCGTATTAGAATCACTCCCAGTCAACCCATGCTTCACACATGACCAGGAAAGCACAAGAACTTTCACTATTAACATTTTTTATGGTACACTATTAAAAAGAGGTAAAGACTTATGACACGGTTAAAAGAGGGCGTCCGTTTTCCTGCTTGTCTCCTCAATGGCGTATCCTATGTAAGAAGAATTTGGAAACGGTTGATCATACGTTCATTGCCCGGTGACCTTGGGTCTCTAGTTGAATTTGTTCAGGGAGATGGGCATTAGCTGGGTAATCCCAAGGGACTGCTTTTCTCTTCATGGCGAAACACATAAATCGTTATGGCAGGGTAAGAAGGGTAAGAAGGCCAAAGTTATCTGGGGCTGCATGATCATGGCTGTGTTATGGGTGGTATGGGCAGAGAGAAATAGAAGGATTTTGAAGATTATACAGGAGCACGCTTTGAGGAGTTATGAGGCAGAATTCGTTTTTGGTCTGCACTATGGGCATCTGTTTTCTCTGAGTTGGGAGTTCCTCTCTCCTTAATTTCGTAGGATTAGCAGGCATCTACCCTATTAATTTTGCATTTCGGAGTGTTCCAGCTCAAATGAGCTGTTGGTTTTTATCTTTTTTCTCTGTTTTCTCAGTAATATAATTGTATCTTTATCAACAAAAAAGAAAAGGACACTTAACTTACTGTTAACGCTTACAATATTGCCTCCTTATAGGGCCATTGGTACAGGAATCATTTAAAAGGGCCAGATTAGTACACTTATAACTGCTAAGAAACAGAATTCCTAACACCTATTTTATTGAACATGTGACATAAAGAGACTTACAGACAATGAACCTGAAATACATGTGTACATTGCATTTATTACAAAAAAAATAGTACAAAAATTATAAATCATGTGGTGCTTTGGACCTGGATGAGCTTATTTATTATAATCTGAACTTGGCTCCTACGTCAATAAATCTCTTGGGATAGTGTTTTTTGGGGTATTGAGATAGTGGGCGTAAATTCTGGTTATTATGATTTAACTCAACTGTTTCTTGTACCAATGGGTTTTTTCATAGTAAAGAACAAACATATCTCATGGATGTAGGCAGGAATTTGTTGAACCACGTGAAACTCATGTGCATAATTTTTATTGTCTATTTATTCTCTTCCATTTGTGGTGTGATTTCTCTTTTGAATCTTGGTTTTCACTAATCCCAATTGATATAAAGAAAAAATAAAAGGCAAGGGTTAAGTTTTTGTATTTGTAAACAAAAAGTTTAACCATATAAAGAAACACAAGGACCAGAAATATATGCGAAAAGAATTTAAGTAGGTTTACGACAACTGAGCATTCTGACTTTAACCTGAAATAAATAATATGCATAGGCAGCACATGCAAAGAACTGGACCCCACCTATTTTCTTATACACATTACTGATCAATTTGTCTTAATCACCTGAACTAAAGAATTTCATATTTGGACTGGAAACTTGAATTTGTTTGTTGACAATGTAAGTCAAATTTGCAATCTGCAATCTAAAGATCATATATAACATGAAGAACGTCCAAATTTCTGGGCAAACCTTTGTATGAACTGCCAAGCTGCTAACAGCTAATATTGGAGATCCATCAGCATCACATGCAAAGTCAACCATTGATCCTGATGGATAACCTTCATGCTTCTGCACATGAAAGAAAATCAAAGAAAATGATACAAGGATAACAATCGACCAGAGGTTAATTATGAGATGATTAAACATAGGAATGTTAAAAAGAAATGTATTTTCTATTTCTCAACCATGTATTAGCATCAGACTTTCATAATCAGTACAAAAGGAAAAAAAGCCATTTTGGTCCAGCATCCCCTACCATGGCATTACTCTACCACTGAGTTAAAAGGGCTTGTTTGATTCAATTACTGAAGCCACTATTCAATTCCGCCCAGATATGTTTGCAAGTGAAATGATTGTCTCTTCAACACAGCCGCATCCCTTTTCAGAATACGGTTGATTCACTTGGCATGGTTGTTGCGCTTAAATGGTATTTATGTTTTTTAAAATTCGGAATCATGTATCCTTTATGCAATATCTTACTGTCATTGCAAATACAATTACTTATTCTATGCACTGCTTTCATCACTGTCCAGAGTCATGAATCCAACTCTTATCCAAAAAATAAAAATCATTTGAACAGAACTTCACCCTTGTTAACTTGTTGTGAAAGGAACACAAGTCCAATTATCCCGAATTTTGTACGAAAGAAAATGATACTCCACAAAGCCAATAACCTCAATACTGTGTATGGTTATTGCGAGAACCACCACAAAGACTAAACAATGCAAAAGGCTTCTAAAAGCCTAATTACTAGAGAGAGAAAGAGACATTAAGAGCTGCATCCAAATGCATTAACTAATGTTTCCTTCTGAGGGACGGTCTTTAAGCCTACCCTCAATCAGTAGATTGAGACTCTTTCTTTCTCTAAGTTATAATAAGGCTATCTTTATCCAGTTGAGAGGACTCTTAGCTTAATAGGATTGCTCTGGTAGAGTTCCAATCCAGTTGGAACATCCAACTGTAATGCATAAAGCCCCCAATGGACAGCTCATTAGACCAAGCCATAAGCCCAAATTTGAAGGTAACTTATCCTGATTCCTCATAATCTCAAAAGGAGATACGAATTGATCAGTCTGTAAATATAACATACTACGTACAAGAAGCTCATGCACTAGTCTCACAATTAAATAACTGAAAAACAGATATTCAATTAACAAAAAGAAAACAACCGATAGACAAACCTGTGAAAAAGTAGAGAGGGTTCCACGAACACTAAGATCAAGTAGAGTTCTGATTTCCTCAACAGGAGGAAGCCGAGCAGCCTTTTCCTGTAACAATAACCACATAGAGATCAACAAAGCTAAAAACTACCTGCCCACATTCAATTTTTACAATAATAGTAATAGTACATTAGTGCCCCAAGCCAAAGTTTTATGTATGTAGACCTTTTCAATATGGGAATGACATAAGTACCTGATGAGATTGAATCAACTGAAATACATTGGCATCATCTCCAGCTGAAACACTCTGATTCAAGAACACCAAACCCAATTTCAGCTTTAACTTGCAGTTTAAAAGATTTGAACTTTACTTCAATTTTTTCCCTTAATTTCTAATACCAGTTTGGCTTTGATATAATCATATAACACAATGAACCCTTCATACATTGAATAATTAGATAGAGATATTTAAAACAATCAATAAAACCAACGAAAATTGAGAAGAAAAAAAGTGGGCCTTTGTTTTTCTACACTTCCTAAGCAATCAATTTCTAGAATCATGAGAAAATAAGAGTACCTGAGTAGTTGACTGAGCGGCAGCAGCCATGGATAAACGAGGAGTTTTTGGAGAGGAGAAGGAGGTGGAGGAATGGCGAAAGTGTAAGATGAGAGGAGAGGGAGGGCTATTACGGCCATTTAATCGGGAGAATAGGGCGGTCTGCCAAGGCGTCACCACAGTCCTCATCATTCTCTTTCTTCCCTCACCTAACTACCTAACTGTGCCTTCCTATTGTTAATGGTTTTCTCAAATATTAAATTTTGTTTTTATTTCTTTCATTTCTTAATTTATTTTTTAAATAGAAATTAAAATACAGAGTAATATCTTTGCCCAAAAAACAAAAACACAAGAACCTTGGTATGATGAAGGCCTTGTAAGTTTTAAGACTATCTCCAACCCTTGAGGCTAAACTCAAAATTCCACCTTTCCAAATATAACTATTCATGTATTGTCCGGATTTAAACCGTTTTTTCTCCAACCAGACTCATTATTTGAGTCCGCAACTTTATTAAATTATTTAAAAATAGTTAACATCTAATTTTGTTTTTGTCGTTAATTTTTTTAATATTATTTTTATTTCAACATTCGTGATTTAATTCTATAAACATTTTAACCTTAAAAAATTTAAATTCCAAAACATAATATAATTTCACTTATTTTTTTTTAAGTAGAAATCAAAATTAATAAACTAATAGCATCAAAGAAAAAAAAAAAAATGTAGCCATGTGGTTTCCAATGACAACCTTACCCTTATGGGCCATGTGGAGTCGCCAACTAGGTGGAGTGGCCAACCCTTGTGCCAATGCTTGCTCCAACATTGGGTCCGATGGGGCCCATTAGGTGGGTTGCTTCACATTGGCAATTGGTTGTGTCATGCTCATGTGTCCCATGAAAGGCGCAATACTTGTTGGTGCTTCTATTGTTAGGATCTCCCTTCAAAGGTAGTGACCTCCTCAGCCATGGCTTGTCTTTCACTTGGGCCAAGATTTGATGTATCAAAATAATGAACTTTGTATAGCCTTCATCTGCTGGTGCACCACCTTAGGATGGTGTCTTGCGCTTTTCCTCCATAGTTCCTACTACTAGGCTTATCACTTTTCTAACATACCTCTTTAGGTAGTTGTTTGGCTTGCTTAGCAAACTTCTTCGTGGCAATTCGATTATCATCCCAGAGTACATAGCATTATGTGGTCGAGAAGACCTATGCCAGAGTCTAGTCAACTCGCAATACAGGTCGTGCTTAGCTTGTAAGCTCTTCTTGAAAGTAGATGATGCGATTAGATCATCGCATCCCACAATGTTGGTTTTCTCTACCTTGAATCTTAGCTTGTAAGCTCTTCTTGAAAGCAGATGATACGATTAGATCATCGCATCCCACAATGTTGGTTTTCTCTGCCTTGAATCTTTTGATGTAGTCTCGAAGGGACTCATCAGACTTCTTACGTAGGTTGAACAGGTGGTTGGCTTGTTTCTTGATCGTCCTGTAGCAAATGTACTCATTTGTGAAGACAAAAGCCAGTTCCTTGAAGCAGCTGATCAACCTAGATAGAAGGGTATGGAACCAATCATGAGCTACTGCTTGTAAGGTCATGACACTTTTGAAGTGCATCAAACGGCTCTTGGGATTGGAATCCCCTTTGAATTGCGTGAAAAAAGGTGTTGAGAATCACTTCGGTGGAGCCGCCTGCTCGATCTCAGCGATGAACAATGAGGAGTTCACTTTGTCCACCACCTTGCACAGAGCATTTTCGAAATCTCCTCCAATCTTCAAGTCTCAAAGTCGGTCATTCACGAGCTCTCGACATCCTCTGCCCGCATGGCTTGCAATTCACGTAGTGCCTCCCATGATGCGGGCGTCACTTGTCTACCTCATAGTTGTCTCTACGGAGCATATCTATGCGGCTATCTTACCTGCACGACATATTGGTAGACTGCGCTTGTGAGGGATCCTCTGTGGCTTGTCGCTGTGAGTTGGCTTTTCCAAAGCGAGCAGGCGAGCGTTTTTCTTCCTGTATTTCATAAGGATAATTAAGAGGCTGATCTCATCGGGAGCCTAATCTCGCATGAATGCTTCCATGCGGGCCCAAGTGGGCATGAACATTAGATTGTGGACCTAACCTCTCGTGCACATTGGTCTTTGGACCTAATCTCAATCGGAGACTTGATCTACTTTGAGCAGGACTCGTGGATGCATGTGACATACCAGCGTGTTGAGCAGTATGCTCTAATCCTTGTCCTTGCCTCCTGCTCGACCTGCCTAGGACCTCTTGAACTGCCTACCTGCGCCCTCTTCCACCCTTCTCTCTTCACCATGGGATCTAGGGCCAAGGTCTTGAACCAAATTGATCTGCATGAGGAGCTGTCTAACCAAGTTGTTTTGGTCATCTACTCTTTGAGTGAGCTAGTTTACTATAAGGCTGAGGTATACTTGACTGCTTGGATACGAAAGAGAGACTTGTGTGGAGCCAAATTACACGAGGGCTAGGGTTTCGTTGGAGGTGTAGGTAGCAATCGTCAAGCATGACAGCAAATGAAGGAACATATGGAGTTCTTTGACCCTCGAACTTCCTTATCTTTCGTCTCCCTCAATCTCTGTGAAAGAAGGTTAGAGTAAATAGACCACACTTGCCGGGGGGAGCCATGAGAGAGAGAGAGAGAGAGAGAGAGAGAGAGAGAGAGAGAGAAAGCCGAGAGTGGCATGATAGAGAGAGAGAGAGAGAGAGTAACAACTAGGGATTTAGGATTTAGAATTACCTCATGTGTATGATGTAACCATATATTAGTAGTGCTCCTTGTTAGTTAGGGTTTGAAGAATAATTCTTATTTAATTAGGATTATTCTTATCCAAAATAGGAGATTAAAATTAATCTATGAGATTCAGTGGAAATCTCATCCTTATAGAGATATTCATATCTTAAATCAATTATAATTCCCCTAATTAAATAGAATTTAATTAAGATAATTAATTGACATAAGGATTTATAATGGCAGAAATTGCGGGTAAAAATATATGGTTGGTATCCATAATAATTATATTGATTTGCAACAAAATTTACTATTTTATCTTTCATATTAGATGATTAATTTATTTTGTTCATATAATACCAGTTTAATATATCTATCACGTAAAAATCGGATTTTCAAGTAGTCCATAACCATACCGTCAAGTTTGATTTAATTTGGAAGGAAAAAAACGTATTTGCACCTAATTCACTCCAATTTGATGAAATTTAACGGATAGGGTAAAGAATGTACCAATCGAATTGGCAAAATAAAAGTATTAAAAAAAAACAACAAGAAACACTGATAATAAAACCGTACTAATAAACCCCGATGTTAATCGATAATAACACATGGATTTTCCTAATCCCAATCTAAATCTAATGTTTGTTTTTTCGTTTTTCGGCCATCTGGGTAAATTCAAAAGCTAACCAGAAGAAAAAAGAAAAAGAAATTACAAAGATGGAGATCCATTCAATCAATCGGAGTGTGAATTGCTGGCGTAGGCAGAGAGATCGTCGGAAGAATCATGGGAAGAATCTTCATCGTCATCATCGTCTTCGGAAGAGGATGAGGAGGAAAGATAAGGGAGGCATATGAAGGCGACCAAACGACGTCGTAGCTGGTGGAAAGGGAAGCAGAAGAGGAGGTGCAGCACTTGGTGGCTACTCAATCTCTCAGGGTTGCAGGCTATGTATTGGCATATATTTGCTGATATATTTGCTACCCTCACCACCACATTGCTGTTCAACACCATCTCAGGCAGCCGCTCCTTTCTCTCTCTCTCTCTCTCTCTCTCTCTCTCTCTCTCTCTTCTTTTGTTTGTTTGTTTCACGCTTTTGACATTCACCACCAAAACCAAAACGTATATATAGTTTTTGTAGCATTGGATTTCTAATAAAATAATAATATATTGGTTGATAAAATACTAACAAAATTAATTCTTTTCATCAAATTAAAATAATTTTCATAAACGCAAATTAGTTTGTTTCTTTTTCTTTTCCCTGGTTTGTATCATTTTTACATTTTTTTTTCCCTTCATGTGCAATGCAAGGATTGAGCGTTTCTGATGTGTCGGTGCGACTAGCACCTTTGGCTGGTGTTTGGAACAAAATTGACTATGGGCCAATTCTATGGTTCTGAATTTTTCACAAGTCCTCGTTTGAGTCCTTATGCTTTCAATTCAATCAATGTGGTCATTAGTCTTTTGGTCCAGATCGCATTCCACCAAAATCAAAATCTTTAAAGGGATATTTTCTTCAATATACAACCTATTCACCTTGGCAGAAAGTAATACTCAAGTATTTTGCTGAACAATGCTATATGCTCTCCTTGACGGACCCCAAATGAGAAACGTAGTTGGAGAGAATATGGTATTACCAAGTAAAAACATGAGCTTTAAGGCTAAAATGAGCTATATTCAAATGACAAAGTCCTTAAAATTGGTTACTAAAAACACATGGCCAGTTTTATTGAAAATTTTGTCGGCATGCGATAACATGAATAAAATCGATGTGTAGACAAAAAGATGGAAGACCGCATTCATTGATTTGAGAGTTTGAAGAATAGAACGAGGAGTTTTAAAAAGTTCATAGACCACTTGTGATACAAGCCAGTTGTGGATCTTCTTTCAGTTTTTAAATTCCTTTTGATTTTTCAGTGAAGTTGCTCCTTGCTGTAATTTTTTCTTCTCTCAAACATTATTTCATAACATCAAATTAACGTGCCATTTCCAAGTCCTGCTACAAAGGTTTTTGAATTAATCGAAACAAAATTTGAGTGGTTTGCTACTCTGTCTCATTTGCTTCGAGGTAATTTTGGTTACAATTCTTTTTCAAGTGATGAAACCGTTGTGGTCTACAGCCGTTACCAATTGTAGTCAAATCTCCAATTTTCACCAATTTGAGTCACTTCTCATCCATTCCACTACTTACAAGTTACAACCTTCGGTTTTGATTTAGCAAAGAGTACCCTTCTTTTGAAGGTTAACCAGGCTCACACTGGGATTATGAAAAGTATCTAAATCACAGCAGGAACTACTTGCTCCTTTTTAATGATTTGAAACTGAACAAGTTTCTCTTTAAAGAAGAACAAATTATAAGAACTAGCCACATAATGTTCTGCTAATTCGAAACAGTGGGACTCCCAATTTCTCACCCTACTATACCTGTAAACAAAAGATATTAACCAAAAATATGTACTCGCAATTAGTACCTACTAACCCACCAAACGATTGCCAGGTGATCTTAGAGCAGGGTTGATCCAACTAATCGTGTTTTGAATGATATCCTTTAACTCGAAAGTGACGGATTGACAGAGATCCAAGGCTAAGTGAAGAAAGGTAAATCACTCAACTTGAAGAAATCCTTTCTCCTCTAAGTAGGACACTACTTGGCTTGCCAAGGCAGCAGGCTTGGGGCAAACTCCGTCTTTCTGTTCTATTTCTATCTGACAAAATAAGGGTAAACTTTTCAGTTCGATTGGCATAATACGGGGCACTAGTAATGTCTCAGACTTAAACAATGTCAAGTAGCAGATCCATGCTGACATGACTATTAGTTTTTATACTCCACTAAATACATACCTCACAGTTCAATGGTCGTTCATATGGATCATCTATTCCAGTAAAACCTGCCATCAGAAAAAATAATTACTTGAAAATTGGCTGAAAGAAACCAAAGACATAAGACGAAGGTGTTAATCAGAAAGAATTGGCTGCATGTACGTGCACTAATGCTCATTTAACTAATGAAGATTGATGACTGTAATACAGTTCTGGCATCAAACAGGTTAGGGGGTAAAAGGAAATGATATTGCATGCTCTGTGTCGGAAATTTGGAGGGCCAAAGAAAAACAAAGCACAGTAAAATAAGTATCAGAAGCCAGAACTCACTCTAACCTTCCCGGACCACCCAATTGAGTATTATAATGTTACCTTTGCACTCACAAATGCATAGTACAGGAAGCTAATAAATGAGTTGCCCTCCTTGTAAGGAACCAAATAAAATGGCATTTCTTCTATATGAATTTTGAACTTAGTGATTTCCATGCAATAACATATACAGTCGTCTTTTCATACAAACCATATTAATATTGGGCTTCTATATTTGTTTTTATTTTTATTTATTTCCTTTAAAAAATGGGACATAGAACAGTCCATGGACAATTCAAAAGCAAACCTTTAATCTTTCCAGCACGTGCAAGCTTGTAAAGGCCTTTTGCATCTCTTGACTCACATAATTCTAGGGGCATGTTCATGAAAACCTGTTGACATGGATAAAATAAAATAAATCTTCATGGTTTAAAATAGGTGGACCTGTTATACCAGATTATAAGAATAAGAGCCATATGAAGGAGTTTTGCCTCAATAAAACTTGCATCTGATAACATTGCACGGCAAGCATCACGATCTTTCCTATAAGGAGATATCAGACTAGCAATACAGATCAATCCAGCATCCGAGAACAGTTTTGCTACCTCCCCTACATTAAAAACTTAATAGCTTACTTGCGTCGTTATTAAAAGAGATAAAATAGATGCCATATTCAAATCTGACACACTATATTTAACTTTAATAACTAAAAATCCAGAATACAGTGGTTGTAGCACTGAATAATCTTTAAGAAATAATTAAAAGATTTAAAATTCCAATCCTAGCTATGCTTGTTTAAATTTGGGGGTTCATCAACAACTATTTAGCACTAAATGTAAATGACAGCAATTCTTTTATTGGGAATGAAACAATATAAATGATAACAATTAAACAGGAAGATTACACGTCCATCATTTGGGTGAGCTATAAACCTGCCTTTAACGATGCACACACTTAGTGCCCTCATGCATACTACACACACCCAATTGTGCAAGTGCAACACGGGCACTGAAATCCTGATTCAAAAAGTTAAGCATGCCAGAATAGGTTTGGCCATACCAAAACTACATTAAATTAAATTAAATAAACATGCTCAGTGTGGGCTATATCCAATATCAGCTTACATGTCTTATGTGTTATCCAAGATTAATTTAATTTACGTTCCCTTATCAGAATTCTTTGTTGTCAAGAAGAACATACCAACTCTGCGTATATTTTCAGCCCTGTCTTCTGCTTTGAAACCAAGATCCTTGTTCAGACCATGCCGAAGGTTGTCTCCATCAAGGATGTATGACAGCTTTCCCTTGGAGTGCAGTTCTCTACTTACTGAGCATGCCAGTGTACTTTTCCCTGATTCCAGAAACAAGTTGAAGAGGGCATTTAGTAAATGCATAGACTGGAGTGAAAATGAAAGAAATTAAAGTTCTTGTGATTTTCCTCTTGTGTGTGAAGTGTTAGCTGAGTTAGAGTTAGTCCAGAAGCCTTGGTGTGATGCGAAAGGCCGGTGTGTTCTGAGGCTGCTTCCAATCTCTCTCTTGGAAGTGTCCAAGACATAATTGGCGTGATCGTAAAGTTTGAAATGAGTTCGGATCTCTCCTCTCTTCCGTTCCCTTACTCTGCCATACATTCATCACTCCCTCTTCTCTCATCTCTCTCCCCTCTTTGATTTTCTTCTTTTGGGCAGAAAATGATAAACAGAAACATTACCAAACTGGGCATTAGAATTTTAATCATTAAAAACATTTCTGAATATAATGAAAGTTAGAAATGCAGATATCGACCAATGGCTGGACCAGTGACCTACTTAGGGGTTCACATCCAATTGAAGCATGCAACTCTTATTGGCCCATATACTCACTACAGATCAAAAAGCCATCAGAACTTCTCCCTGCCTTGACAACATTCCATTAGTCCTCCTTTTGCAGCTCCTTAAGCTACAAAACTGCGCTTCTTTTTGTGGATTTGGACGTTCAGTCATTTGCCTCCATTGTACATTGCCGAACCATCTCTAACAACTTTCTCTCGTTACCTCCACCTTCTCGAGAAAGCATATTAAATTTCTTATTCAGTCTGATGATCTTCACTGGCTGGTCATTCCTTCAGCAACATGATTATAGATATGCTCATTCTATATACTTGCAGTTCGATGTTCAATTACCATAAAGCATATTTGTCTACTAGCTACATAGTTCCAATTTGTGCAGATTTTGAACTACACCTAAATCACCACTTTCCACTTCATATGCACTACAATAAGCAATGCCCACTACGCTCACTGCTTACGGATTGATCAATCCAAAATAACCAACAGTATGTTTTCTCCGGTACCTTATACACTCCACACCTTGTTTTCTCCGGTACCATAAAGCATATTGGTCTACTAGCTACATAGTTCCAATTTGTGCAGATTTTGAACTGCACCTAAATCACCACTTTCCACTTCATATGCACTACAATAAGCAATGCCTACTACGCTCACTGCTTACGGATTGATCAATCCAAAATAACCAACAGTATGTTTTCTCCGGTACCTTATACACTCCACACCTTATTTTCAACAAAAAGAATACTCTAACTCAGAACCTTATTTATTAAAGAGCACGAAACACATGCTCCCAAACGATGAAGAACATTAGCAGAATATTGTTTTTCTGACTATTCACGCTACTCTAAAAGGGATACTCTGACTTTCAGAGCCACAGAGTTGCCTCGTTAAGGAATAATGCCTCGCATTTAAATTCTAAAGGTCCCTCTAGAGACATGATAAAGCTGGGAAGATTTATCAATCCATTCAAGCTATTGCAATACGATGTAAGCAATTCCATCTTGTCACTGTAGTCTAGTACCAGTGACTAACCAATGGAAATGATAAATATCCAATGACAATAGATTTAGGACATCAAGAGGTGTTAATCCTTATAGGAGCTAAGGAGGGAGGTTTAAATATGATCTAAACACATGTTAAGTCCACACACTTGCAATTAACCATGCTGAGAATTTTATGATCATACCAAATAATGGGTACAGATATCATATTAGCAAATTGCCATGACAGGCCAAAAACAAAATCCAGTCCCTTAACAGTGTTGTTGTACAAATGTCTGATGAAAATCATTAATGACGACAAAAAACCACAAAATAAAAGATCATGTGGAAAGAAACGTAAGCTAATGAAAAGAAAGATTTATTCTCATGTGTAGCTGTATTTGGTTCCATAAAAGAAAAAAAAAAAGATATGCAAGTCAGTTAAAAAAGAACCTGATCCACTGAGACCCGTAATCCATACAACACATCCCTTTTGGTTAAGTAGTTTCTGCCTTTCACCCTTCCCAACAGGACATTCTTGCCAAAATATATTTGTTGAATTGTTCAGAGTAGACATCAGATAATATTTTTCTGTTTCATTAAAACAATAAAATCATTGAAGGGAAACCAAAAATGTACTCAACACATTCAATATTTACAATGAGCAAACAACAAAATCTTACTAACAAACACTTGTTTAAGTTACAATTTAACGTTTTAAAAAAATAAAGGTTCTTCTAGATTTTGGATGAAGTAATGGTGATAAGTTCAGCTAATTGCAAAACAAAGTTAATGCAAGGAACGCCAATTGTGTCATAGTTGATTGTTGGGTTCTTGCTTGCTTCATGGTAAATTTTATTTTAAACAAAAGTTACTAATAGCCTTGTAAGAATACAAAGTTGTTGACAAGTAGTCCACTACATTCAACAGAAAAGACATAATTTCCTATTAAAAAAACCCAACCAACATAAATACAAAACCATGATGAAGCCTATTCAAATGCGGTCCTCCAAGCTGCAACAACAAAGAAAGAGATATATCCTGAAACTCAGGCAAAAACCGAAGCCAAATGAAGTCCGAAATCTTACACTAGGACAAAGACTTTCCTCCTCGTCTCCTATATAAATTCATAAAAGCGTTTTGATTGCTCTATAGTGATGATGATCAACCTTTATTACTACTTTTTGCTTGTTAGACTTGGGAGTTACCGCTGACAGCGATAGATATCACAATGTAATCCAAACTCCTCACTCCAGGCCCCAATATGCAAATTTTCTAAAATTTCATTTGAACAAGAAAATGACCAAACAATCAAATATTTCAAGGGCAACTGATTGTCTGTGAAAAAACCAATGTACCATTAACCAAAATCCATATTGAACAGCAAAAACAACAACAACAACAAAAGATCACGATCATAAGACCTCAACAGACAGAACCTACATTACAACCATATTACAACTATAAATTCAGCAAGACCCATCTAGTAAACCAAGAAGCAGATAAAGATATATTGAAAGAGATGCACAATACCTGACAAGTGTTTGCTTATTTGCCCGAGAGAAGAACAAGATGGCCGAGGCTTGGGAGGGCCAAACCAAAAGCTAAAAGTGTTATACTAGAGAAGAGAGAGGAGGGCAAAGCCAAAAATAGAAGAAGCGAGGAGAAGAAGAAGGGCATGGAAATGGAAATGGCCACCCATGTCCCTGTTTTCAAGGCATCTTGTTTGGTTTTTGCCTTTTGGGTATTTTTGGGGCTCGGAATGAATCTGGACGCATCCTCCTCTTCCATTGCTAAATTTGCTACGACGTAGAAATCACTCACTCCCTCACAAATTTCCTGTTACCGCGTGCGATGCGACCGTTTGGCATTTATGTAGTAGTCAATGCCCCCACGAATAGTCGTCGGATGAAAGCGCCTTGCCTTCGCTGACGTGGTATTATCGTGGCGTTGGATCACTGGACAATTGGGTGAGTCAGTCGTCCACTTAGGCGATGTTGTTTTGTCAAGATGGTGATGTAGATTTTTCTATGAAATTTCCGTCTCATTACGTTTTTTAAAATTATTTTTGTAATGAGAAGAGCTAATTTGCAATTTTTAACGTTTGAGAATGTGTCTCTCTCAACCAAGGTCTAAAATATCGAGAGTTTCGGAAATATCGATGGTCCAAAAACACAGATATATCAATGGAAATATTGAGGAAATATCGAGAAAATAAAAATTGAATAAAAATCAAGGAAATTGTGAGAAAAACTTGGAAATTTTTATTGTAACTTTAGAGGATGTTTATTTAGTCAATTGTCTATTATTTTATCACAAAAAATTGGAATAAAATGCATGGCATGGTGGGTTTGAGTGATTTAAGTTGATTATGTAGCGACCTGACAAACAATGTATCTTTAGAAAATATGTAGTAATTAGTGAAAGAAAATTAAACACACCATAATTTTTTAGTTATAATAATTTACTACAATATATTACATATGATAAGATATATGAGTTTGGAAAAAAAAACAAAAAAAAATATATGAGTAACTTAGTGCCACATAGAAAGAATTCGTTAAAACTTAGTATCACATATAATGAACAATATTAAAACTCAATAGCGAATAATAATACAACTCCATAATATATATAACCAAAAATAAATAAATACAACTCTATAATAAAATAATAAATAACATTAAACATATGCCTAAATTTATCATCATGGATTTTTTTTTAATGGAAATTTATCCTATATAATATTAGCTTGCAGAAATTTTAAAGACCATATAAATATTACACGTCGTTGCTTTATTAACAAACTCGTCTGCAGCATGTTGGATAAGGCTTAGTAGGAGGATTAGAGAGAGAGGAGTTTGAGTCCCCTTGTGCGCAAAACAGCATTGCGTCTAAAAAAAATAAAAATAAAAATAAATATTGGGTTGGAACTTGTCTTAACTATGGGCCAGTTTGACATTGCTGTGTTGTGAAAATAATTATACAAAATTAGTGAAAAACTCATTCCTAGACATGAAACTATAAATATATCTTTATTACCCATTTAGTGTTAAATTAGTTTTTTTGAAAAATTTTGGTCGCTCTCTCTCTCGTCTCTCTCCCTTCGCGGAAAACAGGCCAACGATCTTGGTGCTCCGGCCACTGCCAGCAGTGAGAGTGGTCGGAAAAGGATCGGCCAAGGCCGATGATCAAGTCTAGGCTAAAGCCCAGCCACTCACGACGCCGCTGCGAGCTCAGAAAAGTCTGTGGATTTCGAGTTTTCCCACGTCGTTTCCAGCGACTCCGGCGATTTTTTTCGTCAATCGAGGTATGAAACTTCATCTATTTTTCGTGCTCTAACTATTTATGTATGTGGTTAGGATAAATTTTGGAGTTTTGGAAATTAATCAATACACCCTAGTTTGACCGATGGCTTTGGCAGTGTTTCGGATTGCTCCGGCCACTTTTTGGCCGGGGTCCAAGACCAAAAATTACTTCCCTTGTTAGTGTGAATATGTTGGTATAGGTATTGTAAGGAGTTTTGGGAATTTTTAGCGATAGGTTACCATTTGACTTTGACGGTATGCTTGGTATGTTCGTTTCAGACTCTATTCGGGGTTGTTGGAATGCTAGTAGCATTTGTTTTCTGTAATAATGTTAATATGAGAACTTCAAGCGAGACAATTTGAGAGGAAGCAAATTTAACAGTAGCTGTTGGCTTGTGCAATTGAGGTGCAAAGTAAACTTTTTTCTTAAATGCTTTTAGGCTTAAGAATATCATAGGGAAATAGAGAGAGCGATAGCTTATACAGAAAATTGGACCACTTTTTGAGCAATTTTATTATATGCTCAAGATTCTTTGCAGTTGATAACAATTGTTTTCTCTTTCTCACTCTCCTTTTTTTTTTTTCTTTTTTTTTTTTTTTTTTTTTTTTTTTCTAATACACCAACTCTCTGAAGCTGAGGAGGCAAGGTTAAAATTATGTAATCTGTTTATTCCCTAACTATATTGGACAACAAGTTTCTATCTCATGATTTTCTTCACTTTCCCTTCGACTCTGCAGAGAGGAGTTCAAGTTTGAGAAAGACCAAGTCACATATTTTCACAAACAGATCTGTAAGTTATCTTTTTTGTGTTGGCTTTATAGTATAATATATTGATCATTTTAGTTCAAATTGTATTATGAAAGTAACTTTCTCTCTAGAATGACTATCTATTTGAATTTTGAATATAAAAATAGGGTATTTTAAAAAAGGTTTAGATGCAAATATAAAAGGTTGGCAGGACTTGATTATTGCTTGAACATGATATATGTTGTACTTTAAACTGTTAGGATATGTACATAACCTTCCAACTTAGTTACATAACTCATTACTACTCTTCTTAAATCAATGGTTTTCTTTTGTTTGGGGAACAAATTGCAGTGGTGAACTTCTTATGCCCTTCTTCTGCTTCTTAAAAGCATATCCCCTTACTGTAAATTCTTTCATGTTTTTATTGTATTTCTAGTGCATTTTGTCTAACTACTTACCATGCTTGATATGTTGTTCTAGGCTTGTAAATTGAAATTGGGGGACCTGAAAGGAGCACTGTTAGACACCGACTTTGCAATGAGGGATGCAGAAGATAATGTTAAGGCTTTGTTTCGCCAAGGTCAGGTTAGTATCTTCTATTTATGCATGTATGCCGCTGTGGTCCTAAATCTGCTTAAAGTTGTATCACTCTTCACTTCTTGGTGCATTTAATTTCCAGTGTCTTATCCATGTTTTCTACCTTTATTGTTATTTATGAAATTTGTGAATATTGCCTTCACTATTGTTGCTGGTTGTTAAGTTACTGATGGGAAGTTTATTAGATTGCGTCTGTATACTGTTCATACCCTGCAATTGAGTTGATTTCTATGACATAGTATTAACAGTGTACTTCTATTACATAATATTAACAGATTTTTAGTAACGAAGCATGCTTTATATTTTGCTCATATAGTTGTGCACTTGAAGTTTATGATATGCATAATGTGATTTTCACTAGGAAGATAGTTCTATGATATAGTATTAACAATATACTTTTTTTCTTTCTTTTAGAGGGCCTTTGCGATTGCTTCTGGTGAAACTATGGACAATTTGATGTAGTTTTTGCAAAGGATATCGGATATCTTGCTGGGTTTTTTTGGGTTTTTTTTGAGTTTTATGTATGAAATGGTATTAACAATGTTTTTCTATGAAATGATATTAATATTGTACTTCTATGACATTATATGAACAATGTATTTTCTACGATATGGTATTAACAATACACTTCTATGACATGGTATTAACAATGTACTTTGGGTTTGCTGGTCATATTTTGGGTTTTTTTTTTAGTTTTTTGTATTGAGCTTGTTTTAAGTTAATAAATGGCAGATATGTAATTTATAGGAATTTCAACACTCATTTTTTAGATAGTAAATGGTTTTTTGGTATGTTTCTAAAGTCTATTCCATATAGGGTTTTTTTTATAATTTCAAGTCCTATTTTGGGTATATTACTAAAACTCCCTAAAAATTATCACTGTCAGATAAATCAGCTGTGAAAGAAAGCAGTTTGGAGTTTGATAAACTTTTTGTTAGAAGTGCGGTTAGTAAAAAAAAAAAAGACGGGGTTATTTTTGGAATTTTGGAAGTTTCATTAAACTCAGCATCTCTTCAAAACTGATTTCTGCATAATTAAAAAATGAAAGCAGCTCATCTCCTGCTTTCCCTAATTGTTTTCTCTCACAGCAATTATTCAAAATAAGTGATTTTATTATCTTTTACCAAACAAGTTGAACTTTTAAATATTTCAAAATAATCACTTATAGCCCCAAATAAGTAATGCCAAATAGGCACTAAATTATTTATATAAGCCTAATAATAAATTAGCATATTATTCTTGAAAAAGAACGATTTAAACTGAGGGGTTTGGGTCATCTAATAATAACATTTTCATTAATCAGATGACTATTAAGGATGCCCTCACTTGCCTTCATTATAGCCTCTTATTATAGCCTCAAACAAAACAAACATCCATAGTTAGGTTTAGGTCATTGAAACATTAGGCATATTGAATTATATTTGTATTGGCCTTTGCCTTTCCAATAAGCAATACCTTACTGCAATAACTTCATAAACTTATACAATCATTTTGTTAAATATCAAAATTAAAATTAAAAATATAATTTGTTCAACATTTACACCTTAATAGCACATATTTTTCCTTTCATTCTTGTAAGGGAGAAGGCAGATATTATCATGTACACCTTAATCTTTTTGTGGTCAATAAAAGACTTTATTGAAAAGCCAAGGGCATGAAAGGATACAAAACCACTAGTGTCCATTATATCATCTAAACAGTGATAACTTTAGAGAAGAAGACAAACTTCCCAACACAAATAATGTAAGCCAAAATACAATATCAAACTGGTGGTGCGGGTAAGCCATCCCTTAATAGAACACCGAACAAAGATGGAGGAGGTCTAGAGACCCAAACATGATGGTGCACCCTCGCAAAGGCCAAAGCTGCAGCATAATAGGCTACTTCATTTGCTTTCCTTTTTTTTTCTTTTTTTTTTTGAATAGAAACATTTTTATTCAAATTGAAAGGATAAAAAACAAGGACATTTAGAACACAGACAAAAAGAAAACACTAGCCGCTGAAACAGACACAAAGCCACTCAACACAGAACTAAAACAACCAAACATAAGACAGCCCCTTAAGATACTACAGCCAATAGATTGCGCATAATTGTAGGATAGGATATATCCTTAAAAGCAAGGGAAGTTGATGCCCAA